GGTTAATCATACACCTGACTCTAATCCTACAAGATCCCTGACTTTGTGCAAATGTACAAAGTGTGCAAGTGTGAGAATTGATGCTGGTTTGAAGCCAAAGGGCAGTCACACCAAATATGGATTTGATTTAGATTTTTCTTCTGTTTGCTCACTTTGGATTTTGTAAATTGATAAACATAAACAATCAAAATATATATTTTTGAAAGCATTCTTACTTTACAGCATTTTTTTACACCTGCCTAAAATTTTTGCACAGTACTGTATGTGTGTATATAAATATATATAAATAATTTTAAGTCATCTAGGCATGAAGACATCCAGAGTATCATTTGATTCTAACAGTTTCTTAAGGCCCCTTACTCAGTTATTATTTCCAAGACAAAGCCATTTGTCACCAAAGATGTCTATTTAATTTTAACAAGAAACATAAAGGTATTTAAACATAATTTAGATACCAACCTTTTTTTTTTTTGGTAACACTACAAAAAGAGACCAATATTGACAAAAGTGAAAATAGAAAGCTCTTCATTAAACACTGAAAGTATCTCAATATAGCTGCATGTTCTACTCTTGGGAAAATCTTCAATTACAAGTACCATCAATAAGAGTCAACAAAAGAATATAAGAAATAATTAAAAAAAAGAAATACATTGAAAAAAACCCGATGTCCCTTTAAAATCTTATCTAGCATTGTAAGAATTATCTTCTATTTCCACAACTAACACAGATACCATTGTTCACTATTTGCATTATCACTGACAACTGAAACTGTATGAGGTTCTGGTTAACTTTGAAATTTAAGCCTTAACTGTGAGTGACTTTGTGTTGCAGTATACCATGACAGCAACATTTCTGGATTGCCCATCATTGATTGCTATTGCTTGTGAACTATTTCCTGATGCTTTCCAAGCATTCATGTCTTACAGTCCATTTATCAGTGATATTTGAGACTGAATGAACCTGCTCATCCATATCTTAGATCATTGCTAGTGCCTGAGTGAAGATGACCCAGTCAACTACCTGGATCATTAGCTACTTGGTTCATCACAGTAGAACGCAGAAGCAGCTAAAACACAGCTTTTCCTCTTCTGTAAATGGCATTTTGAAAAAACAGTTCAAAGTCATAATGAAGACACAGGGTTTTTTTTTTCCTCTTGATTTCTCTTCCTAGTTAAAATCAGACTATATCACTTCTTCAGCTTAAGTGATAAAATTATCATACAGATGGGACATTGCAGTCTTTCATAGCACCTCAAACAGAGAGAGAGAGAGAATCAGGGAGAGTTGTTAAGACCCCTTTCATACACGTTAGTTTGCAATTATTCTATTGAACCATTGGTAAAACTTAATTATACTGGTGGGAATAATTTTATATTTCATTATTGTCAGTTTTATTTCAAGAAGGAATACATGTGTAAACTTTCTATTTAGATGCTGTGAAATATTTGATCTAAGTCCTGCACTTTTAATTAACAGAAATTAAAATGTGTTGAAGGAATGTGGAATGTTGCCCCACTTCAGAGATCCAAATGATCCATTATTGCAACATAGCACACTCATTTTTTTGGAAGCATTAATAAACCAACCTGTTTGATGAAGGTGATCTCTTGCTAGTTCAAATAAACGCATGTGCATATTTGTTATGGGATTAAAGGAGCCACAGGCAAGAAGAATGAGGGGTGTCAGATGCTTCATTGAGCCAAGCAATCTTCAATAGCACTTCACTCATCTGAAAGGGGACAATAACAATCATAACAATTCATCCAACGCAGAGCTTTCTCAATCATTTCTCAAAATAATAAATAGTTAATAAATGTTTTAATCAGAAACCACCACTGAAATAATGTAACCAAGCAACTGAATGCATGCATATTTAATCCTTCCAAATATTTTGGGCAATAACTATCCTCAGCTCTAACTGACATGGCCAAAATAACCAGGGATGACAAATAGCATACTCCAAAATATCTGAAAGGACACAGGTTGGATAAGGTTGTCATAATTACTCATGCTGAAACCTACACATTCACTGAAATGTGTACATCTCTCTATCTTCAAAAAGGGGGATTTAGACAACTACCAAACAATCAGTCTGATACTTGAAAAGACTCCAAAACAAGTATGATCAATCTAAACATACACTGAAAACAATGTGATAATTACCAGGAGTCAGCAAGGCTTTTTCATGAACAAATCTTGCCAGATTAACTAATTTTTTTTATTGGATAACTTTCTTAGTACATTGTTGGAATCCTATTGACATTAATGTATCTTGGTTTAAGAAAAGTATTTATCAAAGTATGCTATAATATTCTGATTAAATGTCGATGGAATGGTATATCTATGAGGAGGGCCCATTTCTGGTTTAAAAGCTGCACTCAGAGAAGAGAGGGCTTACCAATGGTTTTTGTTCAAACAGGATAAGGGTATTAGGTGAGGTGCCACAAGATTTAGCTGAATGTTATACTCTTCCAAGATTTTTATTAATGACTTGGATGAAGAAATACAAGGACTTCTTATCAGATTTGAAGATGACACAATATTGGGTGGGATAACTAATACCTTGGAAGACAGAAATAAAGTTCAAACTATCTTGTTAGGTTAGAGAAATGGACTGAAAGCATCAAAATAAAATGTAACAGAGAAAAATGTAATGTTCTTCACTTAGCAAGCCATTGTGTTAGAAAAGGGATAGTTGGTTAGTTAATGCTACTTGTAAAAAAAAAAGTTCTTAGAAAAGTAGTAGACTCCAAACTGAATGTGAATGAGCAGTGTGGAATAGCTACAAAAAGGCAAAGGCAGTTTTAGGCTCCATCAACAGAGCCTTATTACCCCAACCATTCTGTCGTGGTCAGATGCCACCTTAAATACTATGTATATCCAGTTGTCAGCACCATGCTGTCAAAATAATGGTTCAGAGAAAGGCAACAAAGATGGTCAGGGGACTAGTGTAAAAGAACTGGGCATGTTTAGGGTTAAGAAGAAAAGACAGAGTGAAGATGTAATAGCCATTCCTCAAACACCTAAATGGATGTCACACAGAAGAAAGTCAAGATCTCTTCTTGGACAGAGAATTATGAAGTTAAGTTACAGGAAGGCAGATTCCAATTAAATGTTAGAAAAAAATGTTAACAACAAATTCAATAATGGGATGACTTACCCAGATAGGCAAAGGGCTCTTTTCACCAGATGTGTTGACATGGAGATTCAGTAGCCACCTATCCTTGGTTTCTTAATTTGTGCACTAAGCAGGGAGTTGGACTTGATGCTCTAAATGTACTTGGCCAATTATATGATTCTACTGCACAGATAATTGGCACCTGAAACAAAATCAGGTCAGGATTCTAGGAACTGTTCCATTCCCCCATAGTTTTCCATCTGCCCTTCAACTTTTTCAGCACACCATGTCTATCAAGTTCAATTCATTCTCCTTGACCTTTTTGGTCCCATCCCTTTAGGGGCTGTTTTAATTCTAAAGCTATTTTGCATTTCCATAAACCTTTGGGTTTTTTTCTCAAGCCTGCTGATAATTCTTCCTAGTTAATAGATGGTGAAGTTTTGGCTATAAAAACAATGGCACTTATATTCTGAACATTGGAAATAGTAGAAGCACTGGTTTGGGAAAAAAGTCAGACTGACTGTATTAGCCCCACTCAAGTTATATCAGTCTATATACAAAAAAGACTTCCATACAAAATGCTGTCTGTCTATAAGATTGAATAATATAATAACAAAGAAAAAAACGGGGGTGGGGTGGGGACACCTTTTAACTCTCAAGGGAAACTTCTTCTGTAACTAGCTTTCCACAGGTTAAAATAGGATTCTTCTGTTTAAAGATAAGGCTAGACTATTTATTTTCCTTTTGAGAATGTTTCCTTAACTGTGCTAAAGAATATAAAAGAAAAGTATATCATTTTCTCCAGCCCAGAATACCAGAATGCTCTGGTATTCAACAATATTCTCTGCAAAGAAAACAGAAAGGAAATATCCCTAGAATCTTCAGAGGAAGGCACTCTCCTTATAGCAAAAACAGATTATCAACTTTATTTTTGTGTTTGTGTACTGGCATCAAGGCTAAATACCAAGTTGTTGGTAAAAATATGCTGGTTCTGGAAGTTGTGATGCCCTGAGGAGAAATCAGAAGGTCTTCAGCTTGCACAACAGAGAGTTGTGGTCACTGGTGATGAACAGAGCTTTCAGAATGATCTTTTGGATGGTGGGATGAGGATAGGCTATTCAGAAGCCAGCATGTGATCTAATGCTGGATTGGGTGTGCATCTGACTGCATTATAAAGTTAACCATTGGCAGAGTGGCAGTGGTGGCAACATTAGTGATCATCTATTTGGTGGCATGCATGCTGGTCTGGAGATGCCACCACTCAGTTGCCAAAGAGTCAGTGGTACTGTGGTAGCAATGGAGCTGGTAGCAAACTGTGTCCAGGGGGCAGCAGTGGTGTGCCTAATTGGGTTCAATATCACTTTTCAACTAAGTGATAGTAATGATGGCAACCTTGGTGGTGTAATGGTCTGTGGCAATGTCCTTGAGAGACAGGAGGAGGCACAGACTAGGTAATGGTGAGATAAGAGGCAGCTTAGCCCGCAGAGGGAATGGGGGCATGGCAAACATCTCAGAAGGGACCCTCCCTGGTTTCTTGGACTATAAAGGCAAGGGGAGAGATGTACTTTGAGACTTTGGCAAGATAGATGTCAGCCCTTCAAGGTAGTCCAGACAAGAAGCCCCAACTATGGGTATTAACACTACCTTTATGGTAAGGTTACAGTAACGGGCATATGACATACTAGACAGTGGCACCCTCCAGTTGCCAGTCTTGGAAAAGTTTTTGGGTATAATTTAGACTTCTAGCTAATCCAGTGAGAGCGAGTAGGGAAAGGTGTGTGGTGTGTGTATGCTGGATTGGAGAGGTGGTTGACTATCTGGGACTAGGAATGTAGAGTGCTTGGTAGAAGCATTCATGAGAACTGGCTTAGCCAGTTTGCTGAATGGTTGTGTTACTAGAGTGTGAGATGGGGTCCTTTAATACAGGGGAGGGATAGTAGGGGCCAGGGAGCTCTGTGTCAGAGGGAAAGGGCAAGAATCATAGTGGTAAAGTACAAGGGGGATATGGTGGGAGACTGGGAATGGGCTGTTTGCAGGGAAAGTGGTCTTGGTGTTTAATACTGATTCTCCAAGTGCTTAGTTCCATTGCCTCGTCATCAGAGCCTCAATGGCCCAGGCTTTTGGCTACTGCTAAGGAATACCAGGGTGGCCTGGAATAAGGGCTCCCTCATCAAGGACCAAGTGGATGTGTATTACTAAACCTGGCAGGGCACAGAGGGGGATGTTCCTCTCTCAAAAATGTGCTCACCTCGGTTTCGAGTGTGGCACCACCCACGACCGTGGGGCCGGGCAGTGGTGTGGCAACAGTTATCTAAGACTCCCAGAAATCTTTCAGAGATGCTACCATGCAGATAATGCAATGTGAAACCACGTTGTTCAGGCTGAACTCTAAGGATCAGATGGGACTGCTGCTATGGTACCAGCCTCTATGCTGCACAGTGGATTCCCTACCTGAATTGCTTGATATTGTGGCCAGGCTGACATGGGAGTTCCCCAGACTTATGGTACTAGGAGACTTTAATGCTTGTGGCTCCCAGAGAGCTTCCTGGTTTTCAAACAGAGTCTGGGAGACAAAGCAGCAGAAGAGAAGCCAGGAATACTGCTGAGGAAAACAGAGTGAAGCCAACTGAGCATGGGTAACAACAATAAGAATAACAAAATGTAATTATTTTTCTACTCTTATTGCATTTATGATACTGACTTATGGCCCCCTTTAAGGTGGCTTGATCCTTCCCTTAGGGAAGGACTAGAGACTGATCTAAAGGACTGCTGTGAAGACAATTTGAGGCATCTGTCAAATACATTGATTGGATATGCTGAGTTGGACTCTGGCTATACAGGTCCTCTAGAATTAAGTGAAGCATACACTGGCATGGTTATCTGGAAAAATTTGAGCTCATTGGTTCTGGGGAAGTGGGCAGGGTCCTTGTGCTTGTTAGTGTGCCCACTTTTGGTTCTGCACATGGTTGCACTACCCCATACAGAACTGGTTCATGTTTTGGAAGTCCTCCTGGACTCTCAACTCCTGCCTGAGGAGCACATGGCAGGAATTAGGAGGGCCTTCACATAATTACATCTTGTACATCAGCTACAACTTTACCTGGTCCGAGAGGCTCTACTTACAGTCACTTATGCCTTAGTCACCCCTAGTTTATTGCAATGTGCCGCATGTAGGGCTGCCCTTGAAGATCCCTTGAAACTTCAAATGGTCCAGAATGCAGTGATAAGTGCCAAGTTTGCTTTGGGAGCTGCATTGGCTACTTTCTGCACTGGCTACATTTCAAGGTTCTGGTTATCACCTATAAAGATCTACATGGCTAGGGACTCAGATATATTCAAGGCCATCTGCTCCCACTGCTTCTGCTAGTCCAATAAGATCTTGAAGAGTGGGCTTTTTTTGGGTCCTCCTTTAAGAGGATGTCATCTGTAGGGATCCTGGTGGTGAGCTTTCTTAGTCACAGTCCCCCTTCTTTGGAAAAGCATTTGTCCCTTCTCCCTAAGATTATACTAGCTTCTTCTCTGTTAACATCTAGAAAGTGGTTAATATATGAGAAGAAAATATGGGAAGCAGATATTTCTTAGATTTCCTACTTGCACCAGCCTCCAGCCATGTTTGGGGATAAGGATCATCCTTCTTCCCTGCAAGCTCAAATGCTTTAGCTCATCTCACTCATACAGTCTGATTGTTTTGTACTATGGTGGGAATTGGAATTGGAAATTGTGTGTGTGTGTGTGTAAAATTTGTCACTGCCCATCTCATTAAAAAGTGACTCTGGGCAGTTTACAGAGAAAACATTTATGGACCTGGGTTTAACAACAATTTCAGCCCACAAATACCTGGACTAGATATATTCCAAATTATTGTGTGTTTTTCATCTGTCTTCGTATGCAGAAAGCAGTTTGCTGCTATACGGCTTAGTATATTTGCAGTACATGTTTCTTATTCTGATATTGGAATCTCTTTATAAATAATTATTGAAATCTTCCAACTTCCACCATAAAAAATTCTATTAAATTTGGGATCTTCAGATATAAACCAACCTTCAGAAAATCGATTGCATTTTAAATAAAGACACTGAAGTAGAACATCAGATCAAAGGAAGATACACAGCTGTAAGGATTATTGCTTTAAAGAAATACTTTAGAAATATAGCCTTTTCTTTGATAGTTACAGAGCACTGTTAATGTGCGTACAATGATGATGAAGTCAGAAGAAAGCCTGTGGCTAAAAATAGTTATTTCTGTTCAGTAAGTATGTCAAATTTAGCTCCAGAAATCCTACACTGCAATACCACAAGCTGAACACATTGTTCACAAATTTCCCAGCTATACTGCTGATATTCTCTTGGCACAATCTTGCATGCTTAAGTACTTAATTTTGGCTAATACTGCGGGCCAAAATAGTTGTGATGGAATCAAATTTCTACCTAAAAAAAGGTTAGGAAGGTTCTATACAGTATTTTATATGAGTATGTGAGGTAAGCGAGCCAGACCATCCTTATTCCATCCTCCTGTATTCAATTCTTTGTATGACTATCCAGTGTAAATAATCACTCAAATTTATGGAACATAGTAAGGAAAGGCGGAAAAGTAAGTAAAAGTTACTCCCTCACTCAGCTCTATTTAGTGAAAATGCATATGTGAATGCTGTTTATTGGCCCAAGCACACTTGCATTTTAAGGTTCATAATGTAACACAGTAAAGATGATGAATTATGTAATCACACATTAAAACAGGTAATATTCATATCCCAACATCTGATACCAAAAATATAGTAAAAATGCTGCAGAAAGAAAGAGAAATAGTCACATGCTAATTCTGTCTAAGTGGTCTCTGATTTAAGTGTTGCATTCTTCATACTGGGTCAAGTGATCTTTACAGCCCCTGAAATGAACTGAAAGCCTCCTGATTTGTCCTTGCCTCTCCTTTTATTTCCTCCTTTTGCATTGCTCCTCAGTATTTGTGCATAAATAGATCCTGATTATTTTAACCCAAATCCAAAGACTTTATTCTTGCTTAAACAGCCCAGGACTGTTGCCAGAGTATTGGGGTGGGGTGAAAGGAGGAGGGTAAAGTAGCGATGCCTGACACTCATTTTCCTAGCAAAAACCAAACTGGGAAATCTTCAGGAAAGGGGACCTTGTTTTATATTCCTATAAAATGTTTCCAAATCACAATTGTGTAGGAAATGGTACATTTATTTATTTATTCATCATATCTATATAGCTGCCCATCTCACAAAACATGACTCTGGGCAGCATACAATAAAAGTTAAAAACAATGGTATTAAAACAATTTAAAAATTGATATTATAATTAAAAGGCAAGGAGACAGCAACAGATACTAACAATAGTGGACCCTCCTCAACAACTCACCATTCCTTTGGGGACTCCAGACTTGATGACATAGCCAGGTTTTGAGGAACTTGAGAAAAGTTAACAGGGATGGAGCCAGCCTCACCTTGGGGGTGGGGGTGGGGAGGATAATGCTCCATAAGGTGGGTGCCATGGTGGGAAAGGCCTCTCTCCAGGGTCCTGCCCGATGCAGTTTTTAGCAGATGGGACCCGCAAAGTACCTCTTCTGCTGGATCTGATGGGATGGGCAGAGATAATCGGGAAGAGATGGTCCCACAAATAGACTGGCCCATGCCATGTAGGGCTTCAAAGATCAAAAACAGCATCTTGAATTGGACCTGGAAGCAAACTGGCAACCAATGCAGCTCATGGAGCAGAGGTGTAATGTGTGCCATTCTAGAGACACACATACAGTAACTGGCTGCGCCGCTGCATTCTGGACCAGCTGAAGCTTCTGGATCAGTGGCAGTCCCATGTAGAGCACATTACAATAGTCAATCTGGGAGGTGACCAGAGCATGAGTGACCATGAGCAAAGCCTCCCGTTCCAGGAATGGGTGCAACTGGCACGTAACATGAAGCTGTGCAAAGGCCCTCCTAGCCATGACTGCCACTTGCTCTTTGAGCAGAAGTTGTGAGTCTAGAAGAACTTCCAAGTTGTGCACCGGGTCTGTTTGGGGCAGTGCAACTCCATCCAGCACCAAAGATGGCATAGTCCCAGAATCAGAAGACCCCCAAACCCAGAGCCACTCAGTCTTCCCAGGGTTCAGTTAAAGCCTGTTGTTCCCCATCTAGAAACCAGGCACCAGGATAAGACATCCACAGCATTGCTTAATTTGCCAGGGGTGGAGACGTGTAATTGGATATTATCAGTGTACTGATCATACCTCAACCCATGGCAGCGGATGATTTCACCCAGTGGCTTCATGCAGATGCTGAACAGGAGAGGAGAGGAGAGGGCACCAAACCCTGTGGCACCCCATGTAGTAGGGGCCAAGGGTGGGATCTCTCTCCCCAGTCACCACCAACTGGTATCAATCCCAGAAAAAGGAGGCAAACCAGCACAATACAGTGCTGCCCACCCCCAATCCTCGGAGCCGGTCCAGAAGGATAGCACGGTTGATGGTATTGAAGGCCACTGAGAGGTCAAGCAGAGCA